TTCTGTCTTTAGGTTTACTCTTGATGTCATCTGGACTTGGACTTGGACTCAGACCTCGTTGTCTTGGGCTTCACTTGGACTCAGACCTTTGTGACTCAAAATCGGCTTGGACTCTATAAAGGTGGACTTGACTACAGCTCTGACAGCAACTCCAGGACACCAATGCTGACGACCGTCCATGCGTGGCGACAGATACATAAGCATGTCTCTGTAGACACTGATGGAACATAGTTACCTCATGTGGAACCACTCCTTAATTTTTATGAACAACCCTTATGTCTTTGTTGACATCCTGTCCTCTCACTTGTTCTCAGTTTCCACAGATGTTTAGGTACTGCATAGCCACTCCCACTGCACACTCCTAGCACTGTCTGGATCGCAACATCTATTGTGCTGAAAAATTTGCTCCTACACCCATTTAGCCTCGGTAGACTCAAGTGAACTTTTGGTGTCGGCGGCACAAATCCACAGTCAAATAAATGTCATATGTGGTGAAATAAAAGCAATGAAGATCAATATCATTGCGGTCTGTGGGGCTCAGCGATGTACCAAACAGCCAGCTTTCAATACAGGAAAGGCACGACCAAGCCAAAAATGATCTGACCTGGAGAATGGGGATAAAATACAGGCACTTGGAAACGAGGGTCGTGAGCAAGGCTGAATTATCTGAGTTATATATATGTTGGGAGGGAGGTGGCCTTTCTCTTCCTCCGCGTGTTTGTTTAATTTCAGGTAGTGAGAATGTTGGTTAACTGAATACAGGCCGGAGCAAATCACGTGTGTCAACTTCCATGATCCTTGCTAAAATTTGTTTATGATCCGGCCCGTTGGCCTTTTTAATCCGGCTCGCCGAAGCTTGGTACAGAATTAAGGTTCGATGTGCATTCATTTCATTTGGACTTGTAATGACAGGCATTTCAACGGCATGTGGTGCAGTTACTTGAAGTTGCAGAGCACAGGGAGGGAGGGGGAGATGAAGAGAGAGGGAGAGAAATAGAGGGAGAAATCCTATCTCCCACCTGCGGACCTCTGTCAAACGGAAAAAAAAAAAAACAGAACACTTATGCATGAAACTTTCTACTACTGTATTACATTAACGATCGATTCATAGCAATGGAAGTTCCGGAAACCAGAAGCCATACGGAAGCCCTCAGCAGCACCAACTCCTGCTCGATACGACGGAGTAAGTGTGTCCGCGCCGCTGCTATTTTTATTCTATTTTATTATCATTGTATCCAAAATGGTGACATGCAAGTGACTCTTGATTGCAGTGAATTTTACTGGAATTGGAATCTTCGAGACTTGGAAAAACAAGGAAGCAATTCTCGCTCAGTCCGATTCTGGCAATTTCCATGCTCAGATTGAATTGCTTGTGGCTCGACAGAGAGTCGAGTAAATGAACGTTTCCTGGAATGGTTTGACTGTTATCATCTTAAAAACATTCCGCAAACTGGATCGCTAATAAGAGAGGAGGCAAATTCCATAGCGCTAACTATAAGCATCGAAGACTTCGAAGCATCCCATGGCTGGCTTCAAAAGTTCGTTGCACAACATCAGCTGAGCAATGATGTCATGTGTGGTGATCGAGGGGGACGCAAAGTTAGAGACAGTAAGTGTGTGAAAAGAAAAGCCACCAGGTCTCTTACTCGTCTCATTTTGGAGCAAATAGTCCTAACTTTGTGATACTTTGGATAGTTTTTATTTTGTATTTTTTTAATGTACCTGTCCTTTATGCTGCAGTTTTTGTGTTACAAACAGTTTTTGGGCAATACATTGTTGCACTTTGTTGCTTGTGTTGTCACCCATGTATGTTGTTAGACTTGGACATTCATACAGGACATATACCATAGTTGTTTCACTGTTCTCATTTAAAAAAGTATGTTCATACTTTAATGCTTTTGTTCTGTTGATATTTGGTATGGACTGTCAACATATGCAGTTTTTTATATGTACCGTATCTTGTGCTGACAAACCACCTGTCAAATTTTAGAAATCAATGTGGCCCTCGAGCCAAAAAGTTTGCCCACCCCTGCCTTCGGGGCTCCATACAATTCAAATAATCAAATGAAAAATGCTGATCAAACCAAAGCTGAAAAAAATCCTGCGTTTCTGGACTGGTTCCTCTGTCATCTGTGTTGACAAAATTCTGGTATGCTTCAATGGTGAAAGTGGACTCAACAGAAGGCCTGTTGCCCATACCTGTGGAGCCACACTTGAAGTACCATGCGCATACAGCTCTTACCCTTAATTCCGCACAGAGTTTGACAATTCTTGTCAAGTAACTACTTAGAAATGGACATCCTCTAAACCTGACAACTCTCCTGATCAGGCCTGAGGTGTGTTTTTTATATATACTGTATATTGAGAGAGAGAGTGAGCGAGAGAGAGAGAGAGAGAGAGAGAGAGAGAGAGAGAGAGAGAGTCAAGAATCATTTCATTTGCTCTGTTGTTCATTTGCACATTGAGATGTAAAACATCTGGCGCAGTTAACCATGTGCAGAGCAGTCTGCAGTTGTATTTTCCGTTTGTGTATTGTGCATTACATAGCATGCTATTGATTCCATGTTAATTATCCATTCCTTCCATTTTCTGCACCACTTATTCTCATGATGGTTTCAGGTAAGATGGAGCCCCATCTGATTTTTTTGTGTGATAGCAAGAGTACATCCTGGATCAGTCACCAGAAAACAGACAAGACATTGATTTACATCAACAAACAGTCTTGAATTCACCGAACTATTTTTTAGGAATGTGGGAGAAAGCCATATCTGGAGAAAACCCACATGGTCAAGAGGAGAACATGCCAAACCCCCCCAGAGGAAGGCTGGGCACTTGATTTGAGCATGAAACCTTGTAACTGTTAGGTGGATGTGATAACCTCTCATCCCGTGCTGCACTTATACACCATATCAATTAGATTTATGTTGATTCAGCTTTGAAAAAGGGTGGCATGGTGTGAATGAAAAGCACATCTCACAGTTATGAGGTTCTTCGGATGTGAAGATGGCTTGTTCTTCCAGTGATTGTTCTGCAGGTACTCCACCTTTTTTCCAAAGTCCCCCAAAATTCTCAGGTCTGTTGAACTTTTTAATAAGCATTCGCAAAAAAAAAAAAAAAAGTTTCCCAAGGTGTGAATGTGCAAATGCTCTGAAATTAGCTGGGAAAACGTTCCTGGGTGTATAAGGCCTACCTTCACCAAAAGGTACATGGGACAGGCTTCAGCTCAATCACAAAACTTTAATGGGAATAAGTGTTGTAGAAAAAATAACTGCAAATAACTTAAAATAACTGCAACTTTCATTTCTTTCAGTTTGACCCAAAGGTTTGAAGTTCATAAATCATAAATTGTTAAAAATAGTTGCACGATGAGAAGAAAAATACGTGTTTTTCTAGTTTAGATTGCATTTACATGTTTGTGATTGATGTTTGTTCGAATTTGTGAATGTTTATAAAATTAGTTCCAAATCATTCTAACAGCTTTTTTTTTAACACAAGACACCACCTGCTGACGAAAGTGAGGAGTGACAATTAAGTCGTCATCATTTACAGGCAGGTGAAAATTCAGTTTGGGATGATGTACAGGTTTACATGAATACTATTCAACATATACGTTGGTTAAGTAAATGTGGATAAAGTCAACAACCAAGAAAGAACGTTTATTTACACCAATAACGCTTTGACAAATGAACATTTTATATCATAGATCAAATATGTTGTCCTTGTACAGTAAGAAAAACAGCAAAGAGAAAAAATGTTTTGAATTGTGATGGCTAGATATTATTAGTCCTCTAAAGTGTTACAATTATCCATTGAAAGTGAAGTGATAAAAGAACTGACGAACAAGGGGTTGAAGAAATGGCAATGGTCGGATTCAGCCTTCAATAAATGTGACCTCTAACGCCAGTTGAGTTAGTTTGACCAAAACACCAAGCAAAACAAAGATGGCTCTTGCTTTGTGTAATTTATGTTTACATGTGAATATAAAATAATAGAATATAAATACCATTCTAATATGATTGGTGTTCAGAAGGAAAAATACTTTCACCAACAGTTAATGTCTCTGACCCCTGAAAACATAATGCTTCTAACTTAAAAGAGTTGCGTTGAGGGCCTCTCTGAGGTGCAAATACAAGTTCACAGCCTGATACGGATCTTTTGGTGGCATCAGATCGGACTGGGCCATTAAGAAAGCACACAATGCAAATACGTCCGGATCACAAGGCATGGTCAAACGACAGACACACTGGCTTTTGCACAGTTGAACTTGTTCATGGTCAACTGGCGAGAGGAAGTCCCTTGTACCATAAAGTTTAGGCAAAGTATTCATCACGGTGGGCCGACCACTCGGGACATTCATGTTCTTTGAGGGCCTGATGAGATGGCTGTTCCAAACTAGGGCCGTGTCATCCAACTCATCCTGTTGAAAATAATATACAGACAGATTTTGGAAGAGCTGCACAGTCATATCAGCTTTTATGAGCAGGAAATTAGAGCATGAAGCTGCTTTTCTCTCCCTACTCCCTCCTTTCTGTCTTATTTGTCTCACTCCTCCCCTCTCATGTGTACCACATCTCACCACTCCCCACTTTTCCTTCATCTTTATTTGCCTTGGTGTCCCTAAACTGCCACACAGTGCACTAAGCATTCTTGATTATAAATGTGAGTATATAATGATTAAAAACATTATATCTTTAAAAGCATAAGCGTTCTTCATTGCAGGCATAATCAATTAATGATTGCAAGCATAAGAGCGCTCTTCATTGCAAGCATAATCAATGTACCATTAATAATCTGCAAATGTATGATAACATGACAGAAATAATTGAGAAGCACTGCCTTAACGACACATCCAACTCTTTCAGGACCAGACGAACATCGTCTTTCCTGACAAGAAGTCCATATTCTCTGCACTTACTGTACATCCACCTGTAACCGTGACGTTGTCTGGAAGGTTGCAATTGGTTGCGACTAAAGTCAACCAGAAGACTAAAGTCAGTGACTGCTGTCAAACCAGCCTCCACTCGCAAAATTTAAATCAAGTGAGCCGCCACTGCGATTGTCAATACTGTGCATTGCAGTAATCTGACGCCGGCGAGAGGCGTTGGCCACCTTCAAAATAAAAGCGCTTCAACTAATGCATGCACGTCAGCGGTTTGGATTAAAAGAAATTAATTACAATACAAAATAAGTAATTCCTTATCTGTCGGGTAACGATAAGTTCACCCAGGAAGAATAAGAACTCTCAGAACAGTGCCAAGAAGCGTTCTCGAGTGGAGATTGTAATTCTACATCAATTTCACCTGATACTTAACAAATCATTAAAAAATGAATTTTAGTTATCTCGCAACCACACCAGGTTTTCGACACACTAGGGCATCCCAAGTATCCAACCACAGTACTGGCATTCAGATCTGATGTTCCATTTCAAAATAAAATGCCTCTGAAATGACATTTTGACCTCCTTGCCTTATTTCAAAAAATTATTAAAAAATGAATTTTAGTTATCTCGCAACGACACCAGGTTTTCGACACACTAGGGCATCCCAAGTATCCAACCACAGTACTGGCATTCAGATCTGATGTTCCATTTCAAAATAAAATGCCTCTGAAATTACATTTTGATCTCCTTGCCTTATTTCAAAAAATTATTAAAAAATGAATTTTAGTTATCCCTCAACCAAACAAGGTCTACGGCACGCTAGAGCACCCCAGGTATCCAACCAGATTACCTTCGCACTTATCTGATGTCCCATTTCAAAATGAAACACCTCTGAAAACTGACATCTTGACCTGGATTCCGACATGTTGACCTCTTTGCCCGATTTTTAAAACACCTTAAAAGAAGAAATTGTAGTTATCCCTCAACCAGACTAAGTCTGGGGGACACTAAAGCACCACAGGTATGCAACCAAACCACCATCATTTGGATCTGATGTCGCATTTTTGAAATAAAAGACCTCTGAAAACTGGCATGCTGACCTGATTTCTGACATGTTGGCCTGAATAATGACGTATTGACCTTTTTCCCCGATTTTTCAAAAATCTTTAAAAAATATATTTTTCGTTATCCCTCAACCAGACCAGGTCTGGGGGACACTAGAGTACTTCAACCATTCAACCAGACCACCCTCATTCAGATCTGATGTGGCATTTCAAAATAAAAGGCCTCCGAAAAGTGACATGATGACCTGGATTCTGACATGTTGACCTGAATTGTAACATGTTGATCTTTTCGCCCATTTTTAAAACATCTTAAAAGAAAGTTGTCGGAGTAGATCTTGTAGTTTTGACCCTCATGGAGAGGTGGAGTATTGACACTCGTAGTGGCGGGCTGGCGGCTCACTTGACTTCAATTTTGGCTTGACCGCAGTCGTCATTGAACGTTTTCAATGAAATAATCCTCTTTTGTTCAGCACTCGCTTCAGATGTCTTTCGCTTATTTGGAAACCGTATTTAAGATCAAGAACATCTTTAATTTCTTTGTTTTTCAAACCAATTACAAAGTGAAATTCTAAACTCACCAACGGGTGAAAACGCTCCATGTTTGTTGTTTTCGGTTACCCGGACGATGACCCGGAAGTATATCAACGCGCATAAAATAAAAAAAAAGATTGCGAGGGAACGCAATCTTTGCGAGGGAATACAAAACTTTGCGAGGGAACGCAGAGTTTTTTTTTTCTTCCATGTCCCCTTAGGGCATTGCTTCTCAATTATTTTCTGTCATCACCCCCCTCATCCCCAGGAAGAAAAAAACATCTCTATAAATAGTATCATTTGTCAATAAAATTGTGATAAGTACACCTCTGCATAACATAACCTTATTAACGTAGAAGAGAATAAAAAAAAAAAAGAAATATGGACCAACTTCAAGTCAAGTACAACTTTATTGTCAAAAGTGCTGTCTGTGCGGCATACAGCACAGATGAAATTTCTTCCCTCTCAAGACAACATGCAACAAGAGGTGCCGCTGCGGGTGACCGCGCCACCATCAAAAGAAAAGTTAACATAAAACGACAAAATAATACAAGACAACACATAAGACACAGACAATCGTGCAATCTGAACCACTTTCCTGCATACACGTTGTTTGAAGCAGTTATAGATGAAAGAGGAGCAAATCAACAAAGAATAGCTTTATTAACTGCAACAGAAAAGATTTAAAGTGCATCTGAAATTCAAAAATAAATTAAATTCTTAATTAAACTACAAACATTTTTTTGACTGACCATGTCAAACCATACGATACTGAAAAATAAAATTGCATAAAATCAATAAATAAGAATGCATTCAAACTGATCACCAACATTAACTCGGGAGCACAAAAAAAGAAAACTTTAACCTGCAAAACAAAAAATATATAAAATAATTTGTGCAGATTTTTTAAATCAAATGTCTGGATTAATGGCTACAATGAGCATGTTTTGCAATGCACAGCTTTTCGAAGCGAGGTTTGAAGCAGAACACAGAAACTCTCAGCTCCTGCTCAATGTGTATTTTACTTTACTGAAGTAGCAGTCACAAAGCGGGATGATTGTTGGCAATATTCGGCACGTTTTCGCTGAAAAAAACTCAAGCGGCTTATCAGCGTGATTGGGGTGTAATGTCTTTAAGTGACGCCTTAATTTATTTGGCTTCATGCTGT